TTATCATGTCTCTCGTTGTATTGCGGCCATTTATCTTTCAATACTCGGCTCAAACGCATCAATTGCGTTTGATACCGATCGCCTGTGATTGTTTCAGTCGGTTTTAACAGTTCATAATACACTACGCCGAGCTGGTCCCACCAAATACAGAACATGACCTTGGACGTCAAAATCACCGTTCTTGAAGCGTTGAAACCACTCACGACGCGTTCTTTCACTAATAGCACTCTCACCATAAGTATTTGAGCGTTCGATGAGCCTCAGCCGCAGATTTCTTCATATTGAAGCAAAAAATTAAAACCTCCCGCAAATGACGAGAATTTGGCTCGTAAACTGACATTTTCAATCGAGAATAACTTTATTATGCTGACACAAATCGACTAATGTTTCTATGGGGTTATGTTGATAGATGCCCAAGTTTATTGTATGACGTCTATGATCTATTTATTTCGACCACCACTTACCGCTAAAGCCATCTATAGGAAAACGGCGGAAGCAAAGTTGTACACCTAATATGTACCTTCAATGTACTTAATAGGTTATAGCGATTTTTACTATTTTAGTTGTCGTTAGTAAGTCCAAGGCTGTGTTCGCTTTGACGCTCACAGACGCTTGTGAGCATCAATTGTCCTTGTTTAATATTTAATAAACATCAAGAATGAAATGACGCTTGAAACATTGTGAGTGCCAAAACAGCCCAAATGTGTCGATACGACATTTTCATCATCGACTAATCAGGGAGGATCACGTTAGAGTTAACGACTATTATCGTGAATTAACGAATATTGTTTCATATTTGTTGGTAGCAGCTGTTGCATAGAGCTCTAAATAAACATGCACGTCAATACGAAATCGTAGTCAAATCAATCGTTCACACGCACGCATACATGTGTATACATGACATAATACATGACATACGGATGTCGTGAGAATCGGTATTTCAAGAAGAAGAAAACGTCCCAAATTAGAGTGATGATCGGCGCATATGATCGTTAATTCGCTTGTGATTGTCTGAAACGCCGCCGCCGCTAACCGTGGTCTCCATGTTTTCGGAAACACCAATCAGAAGAATGATCGAGGACCCGTGGGGGGTCGTGATGGCATGGAGATACTCTTTCGATCACGAACCGAGCAAGATCGTATGCGGATCGTATACGAATTCGGAGTGAAGCTAGTCCCAGAACGTTTTGCATGTGTGATCGTGACTCAGGATTTCCCTTAGACGTCGTCGCGAATATAATCCGGCCACGGGTTTACGTAGTGACTTAGGGTGACTCGACAGCATGTTGTCCCCAGGTATTGTCCGAAGGGCGATCCAGGGATTCGAGTTTCCCTAGGCGAAATCGCCGTCTTAAATACGCAGTAACAAGCCACAGAGACAGCAAAATGTATTTTTTAAACGTTTTGTGCTTGATATGTGATTTGTACTTGAAGAATTAATATTGTTTAGGGTTACATTCCAAGGTGTTCTTTAAAAAATTTTATTCGGAATATGTTAACTATATATTACGACACGCATTTTATATAGTAAAATTTTCAGAGATGATGTTTTACAATGTAACTTACGTAAGTAAGGTCGTTTGATATATTATTTCTTATATTATATTTATATAAATAT